GACTTTAAAATTGTTCTACGAGGTGCAACCTTTAGAATCCTCTTGTTAATATTCTATATATACTAAAAGCCCGCGGATTAGCACTGTTCATTAACAGTGCCCACCCGGTTTTAACCCTCATTTTATTCATGGTTTTTGTACTTTGGTGGGATTGTGCAGTAAATGGTCTATTTTGCCCCTCTTTCATTTTTGTTTGCAGCTGTTGCTCCCGTTTGAAAGGTGCTTTTTGGTGTTTTTGGTTGAGCTTTGGCCACGTTGCGTTTTATAGGAAAGACGCCAGAAGCATCTTCTACTTTTTCTTTTCCTCTTCGTTTTTCTCTCAGTCGTTCCGTTTCTCTTTAGTTTTCCTGTCTGTCTTTTGATTTCGGTTCCGATCGGATCTTCTCGAAGGTGTTTGGCGTTTTTTCCCCTGTTTTGCACAAACGAATTGCTCCCGTTCAGGTATGTTGATTCATGTGTTGGTTTATTTTCTGTTTGGTTAGGAAGAAAATTTTATGATTGATTGTTGTGAATATGGGCTATTCGGCTTTTTTGCCCAGCGTTTTCTTTGTTTTTTCGTGCTCTACGTCTGGTTGTTATCTCTGATTTTGCATTTTGGTTGTAGGAAACATTTTTCTTCAAGTTTTAGGGTTTTATTCTTCCTAGCTTTTTCTGGGTCAGGTATATAATTTATCTCTTTGGTGTTATTTTTTTTTTGTTTGTGCTTTGATTTTTCCCTCAAACTTAAAAAAAAAAAAAAAGAAAAAAAAAAAGAGGAATACTGATGATTAATTTTTGGGTTTTGCTTTGTATGTTTCGGTTTTGTACTGTGAGTGAGGAATTTTTTATTTTGTTGTTTTAATTAAGGGCTAAACATTTCCAGCTATACAAATGGATGATCATGATTAATTTTTGGGTTTAATTTAGCTGTTGATTATTGTGGATGAGTTGCGAAACTTCTTTTCGATTATGTGATCTGTGCCTGTTATGTTTTTTTTTTAATTATTTTTGCGTTTTAACTAAAATTGAAAGATTGCCGACGAATGGATATGGCTACGGTTATATAATTTATCTTTAACCTTTTTTTCATTTTTTTTGTGTTTTAATTAAAATTTAAAAATTGTTGAGGAAGGATATGGCTGCGGTTTAAGGTTTAGACTAATTAATTTTATTGTTGTTTAGGTTTTTTTTGGGGAAATTTTTGGGTTTGGTTGTTCTAATTATCTGTGGTTTGATTTTTGTCCGGAATTTAAAAGAAGAAAAATGGCCATGATTAACTTTTGGGTTTTCTTTGTCTGTTCTGCATTTTAAAGTTTGAATTATGGATTTTTTTTGTATGTCAATCTTTAAATGATCACTGTATGGATTTTTTTTGTGTTTCGGCATATGCCCTTATTGGAATTTTGTGATTTGAGAATTGTAGAAGTTAGTAGCAATTCAAAACCCGTTAAATGGCATGAGAATTAGAGTGATTTGAAATCGGCGAGCAAGTATATACTAAAGCTCAGCGGATTGGCACTGTTCATTAACAGTGCCAATTCGGTTTTGCTCCTGATCTAACGCACAGTTTTCAGCCCTTTAAAAGATGCTACATGAATTGGCAATTTTGCCCCTTGGTAGAGTGAGTCTACATATGAGAAGGTGCTCGAACCCTCTCTCATTTTCTTCCGTTGCTTTTGGCTTTCGCCTGCTCTCTGTTTCTCTGCTTTTTTCCATGTTCGATCTTCGTGTTTCCTTGCTTCTCTGTTCATGTTGATCGTCTGCCGTCTGAAGAGGTGGGTTTTCTGGCTGATTGCGGTGTTTTAGGTGGTTTGTCTATTTTATTCTTTTTCTTTTTTCTTTGATTAGGAAGAAAATTTGTAGATCGATTGGTTGGTTGGTGTAATATTGAAGTTTTTTCGTATTGCATTGATTGTTTCGTTGATTTTTTACTGTATTCAATGCCGTTGTCTAATGTGAATCGGTTTTTTCTTGCAGGAAATATTGGTGTTTGAAGAAATTAAGGCTTAGCAAAGTGTGACTACCTATGCTTGAATTAATGTTGAAGTTTTGAGCTCAATTAGATTAAAGTGCATAGAACATCCATAGAAGTGGTAAAAGTTCTTCCCTCAATCAGCTTAATAGTAGTTAACATGTATGCTTACTTTTCAATTATTAAGAAACTGTACCTTCCAGTTGTATGAATCTCTAATGCATCAACATCATTTCTTCTGAGAAGTTCAGAGGTTGCATAAGCATCTCTTATGTACGAGCACACTCTGCTATTATGAATTGGAGTGGTTCTTATTGTCTTTAAGTGATTCTTATCACAACAATTAGGGAAGAAATCCCTTTCTTTTATATTGGATTATCCCAACCTGCATAAAATTGAGAGTCATGTTGATAAAATCTTTATCTTTATTATGCTGTTATTAAAAGTAGCCTTGAAATATTTTAAATTCGTTTTATATTTATTTGAGAAGTAATTATTTCTTTGTTTGCAATCATCTGCAGATTAATTTTGGTTGGAAAAAAAAAAAATCTTTGCTGCATCTCAGTTCCTATTCTAATTTTAACTGCCAAGTTAGCTTTCAGCTGTCAAGTTTACAGACAATTGATTGTGTTTGTAAGTGCTTTTCACTTTGTTAATATTGTGTTCAAGATTATATTTCTTCCTTTTGTTTGACAATTGTCTGATTGTAGTTAATACTGTGGCTCTAAATTGTATATCAAATCATTCTTTTCAAATATTTCTTTACTTAAGTTATAATGTTGAGCTACTTTATGTTATAATTTTATAACTAGATGGTACATTATCATAAAAATAGAATGTTTTGTTTTTTTTTATCAATGTTATCTATGCAGTATAGTCTTTTTGTTTTTTTTTTTCCTTTACTCTGTATATTACCTTTTTATCTGAGAAGTTACTTTTAATTTTAGCTTATACATTTTAAACCCATCGGTTCCACGTTGTGTTAATCATGATTCTTGGAACCATAGATAGTTTTTATTTTTGTAGTTAACTGTGTTATCGTTTTTAGTAAAACTGTGAATATCATAGATAAATTATATGTAAAATGCTTTTTTATAGTCATATACTGTGTTATTAAAAAAGTTAGATGTTTGCAAAAACTGTCAATATCACGGAGTGATATTACAATTTTCTATTGTGATAACAATTTTTGTTTTAGTTAACATATACATTTCTTTGAACAGGTGTATTTGTTAATTCTGTGTCACCCATTGTTTAAAAAAGTTTTAGGGCTCCTATTTTCTCACGATATATTTGATAATCTAGCCATCAATTTATATAATTCATGTATTAGTAAAAATCAATTGGCTTTTTTTATTTTTTGTAATTTGTTTTTCATTGAGAATAAACATTGTTAATACTGTTGATCTTTGCAGTTTCCACTCAGCGTGGATAAGACAAGTAAGAAGTGATACTCCCGTTGAAAACTTATCTGCAAAATAAATTTTGCTCTGTGTTTACATGGTGCATTAGTGCATAGTTTCACAACTGAACTATAAGAAGTAAGAACGTAGTTATCTTATTACTTTGTTAATTTTTAAATTTTTTTTAAGTTCTATTTATTATTTGTTTTATATTTTGTGTCTTGCCATTTGTTGCTGAACTAAATTCTATTGTCCATTGTAATAATTGTTTGTTGTTTGCCTTTTTGAACAGATTGGCTATCGTATTTTCTAAAATTTCAATTGTTAAAGGTGAGCAATTTTAAATTTTAAATTATTTAGTTTTAAACTTTACTTTTTTTAATCTTCTTTTTTTTTTTATAACTTTTTTTTTCCAGTCGCATTTTAAAATTTGGGTGATCGATTCTTTTTAATCATTATAGTATATATTTGTTTAATCTTCACATTATGTGTTTGTTGGTACTTCTTTTTTTCATTTTTTTGTCTTTTTTTCAGCGTGTTTTGCACTAATTTGTTTTCAAATTTGTATTACAATTTGATTCCATCATGTCAAAAAGACTTGCAAATGCTTTAACAATTAATGATACAGAACACGAGAAAGAGTTTGTCAATAATCAATCCTATGTTTTATCTGACTATGACAGACAATTTAAAAGAGTGTGTAGAATAAGTTGTATACAAAACTATGTCGATGTTTTCTTATCTAAGAGTGGTCCAATTATTCAGGAAAACTTAGCCATTGACTACCAAGATGGTACTAGCACATCTTCTGTTCAACAAGATGTTGAAAACATAAGTTCTTCCAATATCAATGAATCACATTGCATGACTGTTGTTGAAAAAAAATGTTCTCTTAAGAGATAAAAAGGGAAAAAAGGTTGTCAATGTATTAGACCAATCTACAAAAAATACTCAACAAACCCTTGATGATCAGAATAATAATCTTATGAACAAGGTTCAAGCATTTTTTCAAAAGAATAGAAAAGGTTAGTTCTTAATTTATGCATCTATTAATTTGATATATCATGAATTTCAATTTTCTAATTGCCTAAATAATATTACGCTCATTTTGTTTTGTTTTTGTATCTTTTTTTGTAGGAGTTGTTAAAGAATATGCGGACTTAAGAGATAAAAGTTATAAGTGTGTTCATTGTGGTGCTTATTTTTGGCTAAAAGAGTCTCTTAAACCGAAGTGTAAAAACGATCTACCTATTTTCACTCTTTGTTGCCAACAAGGAAAAATTAAGTTTCCAAATCCAAAACCAGCACCACCATTTTTAGATTACTTACTTGATCCAACTAAAGGGCAAAAAAATTTATCATTTCGACAAAATATTAGAACTTATAACTCAATGTTTGCATTCACTTCAATGGGAGCCAAAGTTGATAACTCAATTAACAATGGATCAAGCCCTTATATTTTCAAAATCAGTGGTTAAGTTTGTCATTTAATGGGATCTCTTTTGCCTGTTGATAATGAGTCTCCAAAATTTGCTCAATTGTATGTCTATGATACATATAATGAGGTGGAAAATTGACTTAAAGTTTTTAATTCCAATGGAAACAATCAAAGCCTAGATCCAACAATTGTAGAAGGGTTAATCAAAATGTTTGATGCATCAAATGAATTGGTTAAACTTTTTCGAATGGCAAGAGATAAATTTGAAAACGATGCTCTTTCTTCATTAAAAATGACTTTGCTAGGCAGGCAATTAAATGATAGCAAACAATATGAACAACCTACAACTGATGAAATAGGTGGTTTGATAGTTGGAGATATAGGATTGTATGATTCTAATCGAGATATTATTATAGAGTCTAATAGTCACGAATTAAAACGTGTAACAAAGTTGAATCCTAAATTTATGTCTCTGCAATATCCAATTCTTTTTCCATATGGTGAAGATGGTTATAGACCAGATTTAAAATGGAATGAAAATTATAAAGGTAAAAAAACTAAAAGACAAAGAATACCAATGAGAGCTTTCATTGCTTATCAAATTCAAGAACGAGAACCACCATTAAGTACATTGTTAAGAGGAGGAAGACTTTTTCAACAATATTTGGTCGATTCTTTTGCAACACTTGAAGAAGATAGATTAGATTATATTAGACAAAATCAAAAAAAATTGAGAAGTGAAGTTTATAAAGGAATATATGATGCATTCTCAAAAGGTGATACTGATGCAAATAATTTGGGACAAAAAATTGTATTACCTACTTCATATACTAGAAGTCCTAGATATGTGATAAATAATTATCAAGATGCTATGGCTATTTGTAGAGAATACGGACATCCTGATTTGTTTATAACATTTACATGTAATGTTAAATGGCTAGAAATCACAAGAGAGTTTGAGAATAAGCCAGGATTCAAACTTGAAGATAGACCTGATATAATTTCTAGAATCTTCAAAATGAAGCTTGATCATATGATTGATTTCATCAAGTCCGGGAAGCCTTTTGGAGAAATTCAAGCACGTAAGTTACTAAAACTCATTCTAGCACTTATTTCAAGCTTTTTAGTTTTCTTATTTATTATAAAATTTACTTTTATTCTTTTCTTTGTTTTCATTTTTTCCTCATGAACAGATGTTTGCACAGTTGAGTTTCAAAAAAGAGGTTTACCTCATTCTCATATGTTAATATGGCTGAAACCAAATGTGAAATGTTTTTGCGCATCAGATATAGACTCAATTATTTCTGCTGAATTACCTGATAAAAATTTGCATCCACAACTTTATGAAACTGTTAATCAGTTTATGATTCATGGTCCATGTGGTTGTATTAATCCAAAATCACCTTGCATGCGAGAAAATATATGTTCTAAAAACTTTCCTAAGCCATATAAAAGCGAAACAATTTTTGACACAAATGGTTTTGCTGTTTATAAACGTCGTGAAGATGAAGAAAAATTTGTGATTAAAAACGGCGTAAAAGTTGATAATAGATTTGTTGTTCCTTACAATGCAGAGTTATTACTAAAATATAATGCACATATAAATGTTGAATCCTGTTGTCAATCAATGCTTATAAAATATTTATTCAAATATGTAAATAAAGGTTCAGATAGAGCACGTTTAATTTTTCAAGAAAATTTGAATGATGAGATTTTAGCATACCTCAATTGTAGACATATATCACCTTATGAGGCTGTTTGGAGACTATTTCAATATTTCATACATCATAGAGAGCCTTCTGTAGAGCGATTACCAGTTCATTTACCATTAGAACAAAATGTTGTTTTTACTGCTGATCAATCATTGCAGTCAATCATTAATCAAAAAGCTTTTGAAAACACAATGTTAACAAGTTGGTTTGCATTGAACAAAAATTTTCCTAACGCGCGTGAACTAACTTATGCACAAATTCCCACAAAATTTTTGTATGATGTAAAGAAAAAAACTTGGAAGCCAAGAAAATATAAAGCATCAATTGGCAGAATAGCATATGTACATCCTGCATTTGGCGAATTATATTATTTGAGAATGCTTTTGAATTTTAAAAAAGGCGCCATTAGTTTTGAGGATTTAAAAACAGTTAATGGTGTTGTACATTCTTCCTACCATTCTGCATGCAAATCATTAGGACTATTAGGTGATGATAAAAAATGGATTGAGGCTTTATCAAGTGCTGCACATATTGCATCGTCTGCTCAATTGAGACAATTGTTTGTCACAATAATTTTATTTTGTGATGTAGCAAATCCTCAAAATCTTTTTGATAGTCATTGGCAAAACATGTATGATGACATTTTATACAAATTGCGAAAAACTTTTGCAATTCCAGATATGATTGTGCCAGAACATGAATTAAAAAATTCAGTGCTATTTGAATTAGAATTACTTTTTAATAATGCATCTACCTCTTTGAAAAAATATCATCTTCCCATGCCTAATGCAGAAAAAATGTTAGAAATTCAAAATAGGTTTTTGAGAGAAGAATTAAATTATGATTGTGAAGAACTTTATAAGAAACATGCACTTTTGAAATCACAGCTTAACCAAGGTCAAAAAACATGTTTATGATTGTGTTTTAAATGCTGTGAATGCAAAAAAAAGGAGGTCTGTTCTTTGTTTATGGTCATGCAGGCACTGGAAAAACATTTTTATGGGATACAATTACAAGTAAGCTTAGATCAGACGGTAAAATTGTTCTAGCTGTTGCATCATCAGGAATAGCATCATTATTATTACCAGGTGGTAGAACAGCCCATTCTAGATTTAAAATCCCTTTGATTATTACTGATTCTTCAATTTGTTCAATAAAGAAAAAAACTCATCTTGCAGGATTAATTGAAAAAACAGATTTAATTATATGGGATGAAGCACCTATGAATCATAAATATTGTTTTGAAGCATTGGATAAATCATTTTTGGATATTTTGTCAAATTCACAAGCTTTCGATAAAAATGTTCCATTTGGTAGAAAAACTCTTTTATTGGGTGGTGATTTTCGACAAATATTGCCCGTTATTCCTGAAGGAACTAAAGAGGATATAATAAATGCTTCATTGAATAGTTCTTATTTATGGCCATATTTTAAAAATTTTCATTTGAAAGAAAATATGAGATTGTCAAAAAATGGATTGAGTATTGAAGAAAAAAATAAAATTAGTTCTTTTGCAAATTGGATTCTACAAATTGGTGATGGACAAATTAATGATGCAAACAATGTGAATAATTCAATTGATAAGGATTCATCTTTGATTTAAATACCACAAGATTTGATAATTGATTGTTCTACAAATGCTATCCATTCAATTTTTTCTGCAACATACCCAAGTTTTGAAACTTTTTTTGACAATTTTGCTTATTTAAGGGAAAGAGCTATTATAACACCTCGAAATACAACTGTTACAGATGTGAATAATTATATAATTAATTTATTACCTGGACAACAACAAACATTTTTGAGTTATGATTCTTTATGTTCTTCAAATGCTAATGTTGAAAATCTTGAAATAATGTACCCCACAGAATTTTTAAACAAGCTTGAATTCAATGGTTTACCTGCACATAATTTGGTATTAAAAATAGGAATGCCTATTATGCTACTACGAAACTTAAATCAGTCTTCAGGTTTGTGTAATGGAACTAGATTAGTTGTTACTCAATTATTTGATAGAATTATTGAAGCTAAAATTCTTACTGGTACTAATATTGGTCATAAAGTTTTCATACCAAGAATCACTCTTACAGCTACAGAAAATAAGTGGCCTTTCATCTTCAAAAGACGTCAATTTCCAATTAGAGCATGTTATGCAATGACAATCAATAAAAGTCAAGGACAATCTCTTAAACAAGTTGGTTTATATCTTCCAGAACCTGTTTTTACACATGGCCAATTATATGTAGCATTATCAAGAGTGACATCAAGAGAAGGTTTAAAAATTTTAATAGAAAATGTAGAGAGTACTGTTAAAAACTGTACTTTGAATATTGTTTTTAAAGATGTGTTACAAAATTTACAAGAAAATTAACCAAGTTCAGAGACTCTGCATCTCTCACTTTCTCATCTCTCAAATCACTTCTCTCTCTTCCATCTCTCCCAATGTCTTCGTCTCTCGGCTTTCTTGCTCAATCTTTGTCGACTGAAATTTCGAGGTGATTTTCCAACCCTAAATTAATATATTCCATACCTTGATATCATCTTAATTTATTGGGAATTGATCTACATATGTGTAGTATAGATAAATTTTTTCTTTAACTAATGTTATAGAATCCAAGTCCTATTTAGAAATACTGAGATGGAAAAGGTTACGGAAAAATTGCGAGGTAGAAATTCCATTATGAGTTCTCCGGCCGATTTGAGGTGAGTATTACAAACTTTTATGTTAAATTGATTTGTTTTGGTTTTTCGGGATGCTTAATTTCATCTACAAACAAGGTTGACCATCCAAAAGTTTCAGTTTTGTACCCATTATTCAATATTAGCTCAATAATCATAATGTTTCCTCTGACTTTGTTTATAAATTCTGATATATAATCATATTTTAGAGTTAGAGTTTTCTATTGGGGAAACGTTAGGACCCGATGGTCCTACATCGAAAAAATAGCAGCAGCTGATCCTATTTAAAATGAATCTAATTGAAGACATTAAGGATTGGGCACCTTCTACAAACTACAGTAGTATTACTCTTGATGAGGTATATTTCATTTCCTCTATGCTGTCTCAATCTTCATAACTCACATTTATGTGCATTTTTTGTCTGGTTCTTATTTAAAATGTATCTAATTGAATATTTATAACCAAAAGAATTAATTTTTCTAATTGCCCAACTTTACAGGTTTTGCATCATTGGAACATCAGGCCTATGTCATTGCTTTACCTAAGGTAGTTGAAATGTACATACAATATCTTGGCTTTTAGTTTTTTTCTTCTTTGGCTGCTTAGAGATTATGTGTCATGAACCTGGCCTTTAATAGTTTAGGAAAAATTTGCATCTCTTTGAAAGCTACGAATTCAACTTGGGTTCCTTTAACTCAGAATTTATAGATGTAACATTTCAAGGCTCATGTTGGTATGAAATTGTAATTCCTCATCCGTCATTACATTTTTTTGACAGGGATTTCAGTTCATAAAACAATAAACTGCATAAATTTGTAAAAGTGAATTTTTTTAGATGGTAAAATCTTAGATTGCCAATTGAGGATATAATTGCAATTTGAATTCAATCTGCTTTCCGTGCACATGTGATATGTATGTGTGCACTAAAATCTCCAAAATATAAAATTCCAGTTTCATTCTCTCCCTTAACAACGTTATTACTGAAGAAATTAAAGAATATTTTCAGTTCAGAGTATGAGTGCTATATGTGTTTCTTTCATTCCTAAAAATTATGGGACATAATTATGCAAAACTTAATTGATGATCGTATGAAAGCTATGAAACAAATCTCTGTACAATTCTTTAAATCTGGTTCAGTTTTGTCTTAGGTATCTATACAATCATTATTTGTGAGATAATTAGTTCCATGGTTCAATTATGTTTTTTCCATGAGAACATTTCCATGTTGTTATAGAAGAATTGTCTAAAGTTCCTTAAACCTCTCATCTTTTATGTGTACCATAAAACAGATAACAATACATGATAATGAATTACAAATTTGTTTTTTATTTCTTACATTCAAATTTGGTTTTTATACTTTCTTCCTACGTATGACACCATTTTTCCATCCATGTCAACTAATTATTATATATTATAATTAATTGCCATAAAAAAAAATTTTTAACACTTTATTTTACAATTTTAGGAAGGAAAAAAAATTGCTAATTCAGCAAGGAGCTTACAGTGCTGACAAATACATTTTCAAACAATGAAGAGGCAAACATTCAAAGGTATGTAAAATTAATTAATACTTTATTAATTTTGTTTTGTTAATGTTTTATGTTTAATTTCAATTTTTACCAAGCTTTCTCTTCAGAGGAATTAGCTATTACTAATATATATATATAAACCATCTTCTTTTCACATGATCTAAATACATGACAAATTACTTGCTTACATATTGAAAGGCTAAATTGAACATCCAAAAGTATAAAAGTAGACATTTTCACTAGAGACATACCATGTCCACATATTTTAATCTAATATGTTCTTTCACAGATTTACAAAATATGGACAGGATTTATCTTTAATGGAAGGATGTCTGTTTATACTTCCAAATGTTAGCCTTAAACCTTTTGCTAGACAAACAAATAATTAACCATGTATTCACAATAAGTTAGAAGAAGAAAGTATCTATATAAATTGGTAATAGTTAATTCCTCTGAAGGAAAAAGACGGAAATGATGATTCTTACTCCATATAATTAAACCTAAGTTTACCAATTTACGTAAATCTGATCCGTCTTAGATCGCCAACATTTAACTTTGTTTTAAAAATTATAATATTGCCAAATATAAACTACTATTTAATCATAGCATGATTTGCAATACTTTTCTAAGTCTTATATAACACTATCACTAAATATATTTTATTGCATAAGACATCAATTTTCATTGTTGTTGTACTAAATTGCAACAAACTTATATTTTAAACGTTATTCAAATTCTCATCCCAGATATGCATCCAATTTCACTTACTCTTTATTTGTATAAATTAAAAAAATTACCAAATGCAATGGATAGTCGGGGGGTCAAGAATTCACAGTGTTAGTCTTTTTTTTTCATCTAAGGTTGTCTTTCAATTTTTATTTTAGATTTTTCCTAATTTGGATAAAACCCTAACGATTTCGTTTTGCTGTCAGTATATACATGCTTATTTAGAATCAAATGACACAACTTTATATTTACAATTATATTTTGTTTCTAATAGCTTATATAATTTTTTCTTCGTTTTCCTATAACATCGTATCGTAACATGGTCTAATCATATTCAATATAATTGAACAAACTGTTATCGACCGGTTAATGCCAATTTAAACACTTCTAATAAGTTACAGCTACATTTATTATCTTGAATTTCAACATCAAATGTATATTTTTTTACTTCAAATATTTTGTTAATTATTAATAATCGTTTTGACGTGTTATATACTCACACTCATAAAAGTAGTTATCCTCTTATACATAATTCTTCACCACAATTTTATATCACTATTAAAACACTTCTAACCTTAATTTATAGTTACTGCAGTATGTTCTATGTGCACATCATTTTCTTCTTCAATTTCTGCTGTTTTTTGTTCTCTGAGTTGTAAATGTTACCGGTGTTCACAACTAAAATCAATTACACAGACTTGACTACAGGTATGCTGCAAATTACATCACTTTCTGCCAACACTCTACTTATTTTTCTTATTATATTTTCTGCGTTTAAATAGTATGAACATACTAAAAACCTGTTAATTACAAACTATCCATTACAAGTTTGCATTGACTGTTTTCTTCTTTTATGTCCATCAATTTTAAGACCCGCAGCAACGCGCGGGCACTATTGCTAGTCTTTTATCTAATGATTCATCTTTCACCATAAAGCAGGATGATTTGAGCTAAAAAAAAAAAAAAGAGGCATACCTTTGACAGCATATTATTGTCACGCATCACTTGTCTCCTCTGAACTTCAGTATTAAACTCATCCAGCACGTCATCGGCTTCATAAACTGCATCTTCTACGCTTTGGAGCCACAACTTGACTTCATTGTTGTCGGCTTGCTTTTGCTCAGCATCAAGGAGAACATCTTGGAATCCAGCAACGGTCTCCTTGAGCTTGTTGAGCTCATCTTGGACACCCCAAATCGATCCAATCTTTTGGAAAGCACAGTTTCCAAGCCTTACAATGATCCGTTCTGCAATGTTGAAGAGAACTCCTTCCGCCATTTCTTGTATTCAGGACAAGCAAAACACATGCAAGTGAAGTGAATTAAAGTAGAAACTTGTAAACGAGAATATGGTTTTGCGTAGTGAACGATGGCTCGTCCCTGCTCGTCTTTATACATGCCATTCCACTTTAATTAAAGAATAACTTGAATGATTAACACACTCATTCCCATTCCACTTTAATTAAAGAATAACTTGAATTTTAATTAAAGAATAACTTGAATGATTAACACACTCATTCCCATTCCACTTTAATGAAAGAATAACTTGAATGGTTAACAGACTCATTCCCATTCCACTAAAGAATAACTTGAATGATTAACACACTCATTCCCATTCCACTTTAATGAAAGAATAACTTGAATGGTTAACAGACTCATTCCCATTCCACTTTAATTAAAGAATAACTTTTAATTAAAGAATAACTTGAATGGTTAACACATTATATCCCTTTTCCACAAGTTCTGAATGGTTAACATATTCTATCCCTTTTCCACAAGTTACGGCAAAAACAAATTTTGTTCGACTAGGGAAGTTGAAAATTGGGCTCCATTTGAAAGAGGAAATTTCAAACCTCAATCCAATATTTTTATGATTTCACATAATATGGCATGCTTATTTATGGAAGGGGATCATATCCTGATCTCTTCTACCAAATCCTTCCCATCAATCGATCTGGACTCTTAACATTTGATCTAACGGCTAAAGTTATTATAATTTTTAAAATGGGCTCATGTTTTTAGCTGTTGAATCAAATTTCAAGGGTTCAGATTAGTTGATGGGTAGGATTTGGTGAAGGGGATCCCTTATTTATGATTCTTCAATTTCATGCGCCTACTAAAACATGATATGCTTTATTTATAGAGAATTAAATGGAGCCCATGCATTATGCGCGTGTAAATATAAAAATTTTAAAAGGAAAATGTATAGAAAAGAGAAAAAGTGGGTTTTTTTTAAATTTATTTTTAAATTAGAAATGCTATGATGATATGCAGGCGAGGTTTTAAAAAAAAAAAACATCAAAACTTACTTTGTAGGCGAGGTTTGAAATTACATTATTGCCTCAGATTCCTAATCAACATTAGAGAACCAGACATTATAGATTATTCTCCTAGTCTTTTCGATTTCTCTAATAATATGGTAAGCTCATTGGATCCATCTCATCCTCAAAACTGAAAAAAAAAAAAAAAAAAAAAAAAAAAAAAAGAAAGAGGAAAGAGTTTCATCTTGTTTGTCTGCATTTCCGACTTCCTCTCCACCTTTTTCTTCCCCCTTTTTCTTCACCCACCCCCCCCCCCCCAAAAAAAAACCAACAAAAAAAAAAAAAAAGCCAAAACACTTGAAGATTTTATTTTGTCGTAGAATACCAAATTGTCTTTTGGTTGACAAAGAACATTTTGTTAGCCAGTAGTTTAGGTAAGAATAGGAACAATTCCACGACCTCACTACTAGTCTAATAGTTCTTCTTAATTAACTCAATATTGTAGCAAAATTTCAAATCCTTATGACAACAGCCAGTGCCAAAGGATGATCAACCAATTATCCCGTTTGGGTTTAGGTTCTGGGGTTGGTCCGAAAATTCCCTTGTAGATTTCTATTTGTTTCTGATAAACAACCTTGTCGTGTTCAGCAAGCAGACGTAACTCTCTTGCAATAGCTTTATCTTGAGGTGCAAATTTGCATGCCTCTAGAAAGTCTTCCCGCGCAACATCTGTCTGCCCAAGCTCTGCTCTGGCTTTTCCTCGTCTAAATAGCGCTTTGAAGTTAAGTTTGAACAACATGATGAAGCATGCACAGTAACATACCAAAGAGATCATAAGAGTCGCATAAGACCTAAAATTCGACTATTAACTGAAGAATTGTGCCCTTGAGCCTAGAAATTTTCATGGGTCCACACTAAGAACATTTTCATTTTCTACGGCAATCCAAAATGGCAGGTTAAAGTGAATGAATATTGAAACTTTTGGGATGCAGTTATGCTCACAAATAAACCAACAAACCCAACTTTCTAGTGTCTAATGATGAATAGCACAATCGCTGAACACACAAAATTAGATGACTTTCTTGTGATAGCATTACACTTACAATACTGCATTGTCCAATGGCTTCTTCATAACGCTTGCGCTTTATAAAAGACGCTGCCATGTTAAGGTGGCATGGATTTTTAACAGCCAAAGCCATGTCCCTGTAGTTCCCAAACAATTGGAACATGAAGTTGTCACCCATATACGCTATAGCCTGAGAAAACCCACTAGAATCTTGTCAGAGAGGAAATACAAAAAAGAGACTGGACAACTCAAAAGCTCATCAACCATAAATAAACTATGTAAGCATTACAAGCGCGTAACCATTTCATACCATTGCATGGCCTCCTCTAGTTTTTCCTCTTTAAATAAAGCATTTCCATCCATCTTTCTTCTATCTGCTGCTCCAATCCTTTCCTCCACAGTCATGTCACTACGAGCTTTCCCCTATGAAAGGAAAAACCCACAAATATGCATGTTACTATATTACCGAAGCAAATCCCTGGAAAAGAGATTCTGAAACTTCAATTGGTAACTACTTGGGAAGACATTTGAAAGCAAGTGAGCAACTTATTTCTTTGGTTTCATCAAATCCAATAAACTCAACTTCATATGATATATCTGCCAATGGTGGAACATTCGGAAAAGAAAAGCTCCTTTCTTTCCCATACCCCAACTCCCAGCCTACATGTAATAGGGCATGCTCTCCAGATTTCATGCTGGACACCCCAACAGCCAAGCTAGTCATTTCTTTGTTCTCTGTTGCAGTAACAAAAATACACTACTAAGAAGAAGTCCATTCCATTGAATACCCCTAGATAATGCTTAAATGCTTATGGACCCAAATAATCTGGAATGACAAGTAATTACAAATTACAGAGAACAAAAGCAATAAAGAAATCACAAACTAATTGCAGACTGAACAAGGAACATGCCAGGACTCGTTTGCATATACTTTGTATATATAAAAAGTAACAGACTACTCGGCAGGGCTAATACCTTTTCCTAAAATAATTTCAAGTGGTCGTTGTTCTTCCTATGTGTCCTCAAACTTGTGTCACGTGCTCTCAGTCCATTCCCGGTAAGCTACTATCACACATATGCCAATCACTCAATGATTGAAAAAACCAGAGTAAAAATTCACTGCAAGACATTTCTACATGTATCTTAGGCATCCCTTTTATAAACTTTAATGCATGCACATTTAATTCTCCTATATACATACACAACTTTGTGAACGTGGATGTTGTGTGTCTGTTTGCAAGCCACAAGCTCATTCATGTCTTACTACCATCCCATACTAACAAACACATGCACACACAACAATTCTCAGATTTTCAACTAAAACTACACAGCACAGCACTACCAAAAAGGAAACCACTTGACACTTACAGAAGCATGTTGAATACTTGGATGGTATTTGACCATGACCTTCCTTAATGATTTGATTTGTGACTTTCTCGTGAAGGATTTCCACCTTAGAATCAACTTTTGGGGGGCCATTAATCTTGTGAAGGTTCCCCACGAACGAAGGTACCATCTTCAGTTACTGTTTCATTTTCACCATCTTGACCTACAAACAAGATGAAAAGATGAGTAGTAGTCTATATTAATATATGATCGATAGAAGAATTGTTCTTGAAGAAAACATCTCCATGTATTCATTTAGTCCAACTAAATCACTCGAAACCCCGCTTATCAGGTTAATTTGACATTTAATTGAAGCTGAAAACCTACTACGAGTCTAAGATTTGACATATATTTGCTTTTACAGAAACCGAGTGTAGCTGAAAGATTTGATTGAGCGTAAAAAGTATGACTTAATACTTGAACCGGAAATTAAAGCCAAAAATAAGAAAAAACATACCGAGTAGTTGACTTTCCTGCTCAGCCTGCTCCCGAACATCCTCCATTACTTCAAGCTTCTATAATCCAATGGGTCTTCTCAAAATTCTACAAATACCCAAATCAAAGACGCAAAATTTAATGCAATTGCATTCGAATTCCAAAACAAAAATTAGGAAGGGTTTCGTTTTCTTTGTAATTTTCTCGGGAAACAAACAGAAAACGGAAAGTAGAAAAGGAAAGGGGTGTGCACCCTTTTTACTTCTCACGCTACTTGTTGATTTATGTTATTTGATCTTCTTCAATTCATCGGATCCGACGATCAAAAATTAAAAATATATGTAAGATCTAAAAATATATGTATGGATATTACACCCCAAGAAAAAAAGCGAGACTTACTTGTGTGATGAGATATAGATGAGAAGAGAGTAATAGAAAGACAAAATACGAGAATGTGAACATCTTATTTTAATTTTTAATAGCAATAAAAAGATAAAATAAGAGAATGTAAGGGAAAGAGATGGGAGGGGATGTGAATAGGAAGGGAGAGAATCATAGTCCAATAGAATCTATATTGTGTTTTGTTTCCAACAACCGAAGAAGATTGTAGAGAGAAACAAATTAATTAATTCATTAAGGTAGTGCTATCACACATCCATTTTTATCTCTCACACACGTCTTAGTTTTCAACCATCGGATTAAATGAATCAAAATATCAATAGCCAAAAATTAATAAAAGTATGTGAGAGGTAAAAATATGTATGTGAATATCACTTTCTTTAATTAATTATTCTTTCGAGTTTAAATCTCCTGTGCATAGTGATTTAGTATTAGAGTCTACTGATATTACTCTTCACTTCTAAATGAGAGGTCTTAGGTTATTAGGCTAAGCTTATTTCCCCACCCTCGTGCCCTTTAGTGTAAATAATATTATTTATTCAACAAAATCTGTTGTGCCCAAATAGCCTTTGCCTATCCATCTTCCTTTATTTGATATTCATGACGACAGTCTATTTATTTGATACATTTAGACACGAATGAAGGCAGCTACCCCCACTCAACCCTTTTTATCATGAAAAATGCTTCAACTAAAACTCTAAATTATCTGTATATTCAGAAATAAAGTCTTAGTCAAAATACACTTTCACATTCTATACTGTTTTTACCCTCATCCTTTTGAGCATGTCATTTTTCATTAGCTAATAAGTTACAATTTTAGTGTTCTAAGATCATCATCCAAAATTATGTTGTTAGACAATAAGTTGCCCCACTAGAATAGTATTTGATGTGTTATAAAGTAAGGAATCTTATCTAGACTAGTTTGAGTGTTAAGTCAAGTATTGTTAATTGTGATGTATAGAAGATCTATCCTTATCTTATGTAAAGGATAAAAAGGATGATGCCTCTTGTATCCAAATAGTTTTAGGTGAGGTTCGGGAGGGTTCCTTCTAAGCCTATAAATATGTGTGTATTCTATGTAAGTAGGCGGGCTTGAATGGAAATCGGTTCTTTGTATTAACTTCTCTTCTTGAGCAAATATCTTTGTTTGAGTCATCCTTGGTAATGATCCTGATTAGAGTAAACCCTTTGTTTTGGTGGTATCATGTAGGTGGCTCAAACATGGTTGTCCTCAAAGCTTGTGTATTCCTTCTTACTCAAATTCTTAGTATACTCTGCAGTTACAGCGAAAGCCTGATCTTTTGCATCAAAACTGAATCTCAGTAAAATTCTTTCCTCTTTTACACAAAATTAAGTAATTTTTATACACAAATTAACATGCTTTCACTTCACATTGAAGGTATGAAAATGAAATTTACCTATTTCACATCTTTATACTTTACATGAAAATTATCTCCCGCACGTTTTCTTTTTCACTAGTGAACGGTTGGGAAGAAAAAAAATGTGTGGGTGAGCAAAACTCTTACTTTACAATATCAAACATGTAAAGCGAGGGAGAGGCCAAAAGACGCATAAAATGAACCTCCCTATCAACCATTGATGAATAAATGAATGCAGTCGGTCAGTAGAGATATGAAGAGAAAACAAGGCTGGCTGAATCGGGAGCAAAACAAACTTGTTGCAGATACAACTGCCGCTCGCTCCAATGCTGTTAACACTGAATTTCTTATGTGCTACAAAGGCTATCGAACTTTCTCTACACGGATCAACAACCTGCAGCCTTTAAAAAGTTATCGTAGGGGCTTGATGCCGGTAGCTAAAAGTGTGGATAGGGCTGATACTCAGTTGTACAAATCATCGAAGAGCCATTGCCAACAGATTGGTTGAGTGAAATAGCACTTGATTCAAGGAATGGATTTCCACTCTGCGGTCCCAGATGGTTTTCGGAAACTCAGAATATGCTAAAAATACAGTATGCATGCATTGCAAAATAAAAGGATTGAATTTATAACTTTCCCATATAGTGTATGCTAAAGAAAATACCGTAGGACTGCCCAGCGGAACAACAGATAGAGTTTCCTTTTCCTGGTTGCAAGCATTAGAAAATCTAATCAAACTTTCTTGTCTCTGCCGGGAAACTATAAACGTCGACAACTTCTGTTGCTTCCCCATTTGAATGGCCTCACACTGGCCAGCCATTTCCATGTAAGGCATATTTGTAGCAGCTGAGACTGATAATCTTCCAACTTGATGTGTTGTCTCCAAAACCTGCACACGAATCGCTCTCTTACTGAGCACAATGTTCAACTTGATGTAATGTCCATTGATTTACGTATTTTCTGTCTGGTTTCTACAAAGGCCACAAACCAGGAACAGTGTGTGAGCGGCCTCACTTACCGAGTCTAAAAGCTGATCAACGCTTATTATGCTTAAACTTTCCACTGCAATTTTTGTGCCAGGGTGGGTTTGATTTTTCTATAGCAGAAGGTGACCTTAAAACATCCTCATCCTCAGATTTTTCTATAGCACAACTTGACCAGTGCGGTAAACAGTAGAAATCAAAGTTCTAGCCATAACCGTAATGTTAGAGATGTTTTCTAACATCACGGCCATCACGTCAAGAACACGACCATCTCCTACCTGCACAATATAAGAGCAATCAAACCTACCCTGTGAGACTACTTGTTCCATCTTTAAAGAAATGTACAGGATGTTACCATCACCTTATGTGTCAATTTATTTACAAGTTTGCCATTCCTTTAAAAACGAATATATCTGACCAGCGGTGCTTTTCTGCGTCGCTGGATGCTCCGCTTCGACTACTCCTTCTGCTTCTTCACCGCTTCTTCCCCTCTCGCTCCTCGTCTCGTCTGCTAAACGACGACCTTTTCGACGACATTCTCTCGCACCTACCCCGCTTATCCTTCGCATCAGCGGCGTGCGTTAGCAAATCTTGGAACCAAATCTGCAGCCGAATCCTCGCTAGCCCGAAGCTCGCCTCTGCTCTCTCTCTCTCTGCACCCCTCGCCTAAGGTTTGGTTTAGAGTCTAGACCCGTGTTCGGTTTCCGAGAAAATCACAAGCTCAAATTTTCAGCACATTTTCTCAAGTTTTGTGTTGGAATTGATAGGTTGCGGTGAAGGAGGTTATGGAGAAGGTTCTGGCTGGGCGGATACGGCCTCATTTCGTTTTGGCTGATATTGGAAGTGGGTTTGGATTGTATGGCATTTCCAAGTTTGTATGTGATCTTGCTCATATAAACCCCTTAATCTTAATTAGTATATCTGAGCACGGTGAAATTTTTGTATGATTTATTTTTTTTTTATTTTTTTATTTTTTTAGGTTTTGTGGATTTTAGATATTTTTCTGTGAAAGCATTGATTTTTATATGATTTTTTATTGTGGGTTTTGATTGTTTGGTTATTTATTTGGGTATTTGAGCTGCTGTATGCTCGGAGTGAGAACCTTTTCGCCCATTCCTATAAGCCAGTCCGGCCTAGCCATAATCCAGTCAGGATCTTTTCAACAGCATCCTCTGGCAATTCAAATAAAATCCCCTCACCCATTATATTTGAGAATCTTTTTCTGATGGAGTTTGTGATGTTTTGCCGAATAGGGTTGAAATCCATTGGCTTGAAGACAATGGCATCATCAATAGTATCCGGTAATTCCCGGCGATCAAAGTCTAATGGCAATAGGTGCATTGATTATCAAACCCTAATTTTAACTATTTGGATCATTGTGGATTTGGGGTGGGTTTGTTTTGTTTTTGTTTTAACTTTTTAAAATTGTGTTACTTCTATTTGCTGTATATTGGCTGATGGGTTTCAGTGTATTTTTTGTTTTGTTGACTGGATTTCGCCATGTCGGATTGGTTTTGTTTGCTGCGATTGGTGAGGCTTATGTTATTGTTGATGGGTTTGGTTAACAGGGTTTTCATTCCTTTTCAGATTTGTTTCAACACACTTCTCGAAATTTGCAGGATGCTATGGTGTTATTTTCTATTATCTAATCAAATGGACTATTTAATTTCAATAGTTTGAGGGCTCCGACCGCAACACACAGCAGCAGCGATGGGATAGGGGAAGTGGCACCAAGTGATGCAGAACCTTTTCGGTGATCTGAAGAGGAAGAGGAAGAGGTTGATTCCGAGCACGAGTCTAATCCCCAGCTCAATTCTGTATGATCCTCTAATTTATAGTTTCCTTTCTATTCTTATTCCAAAAGTATGTTTGGAAATGATTAGGATTTCAATTTTTGCTTTAATCTTAAGCTGAAGGAAGATATAGGTTGTGGTTTTGTTAATGGCAGTGGATGATTTGATGAAAGTATGTATCTTGGGGATTTTTTTTGCTTGCAGTTGTTTAGGCCCGGACTGAAGAAATTTTGTGGAATGAGATTCTTATGAGTAGTCAATTTTAGTGGGATTGTTCTTTTAATCTGGATAACGAATGATGTCCTTTTCCTATTTGGTCTGTACTTTGATGTTGTAGCAGATCTGGAATTTTGTGAAATGTTCTTTATTGAGAATGAAGTGCCACAAATTGAAAACAAATAAAAAAAAATTGCATGTCTTCTGATTAGAAATATAGAATTGATTTTAAATTATTTTCTTGACTCTTTGGTTCGGATGTGCTTTACGGATAAGTCAAGGGTTTACAAGATATTTTTTGTTGTTTTCTCTGGGTTACTCTGCTTTTACTCCTTTAAACGGGGGGTGTTATCATTTTCTCTCTTTTTTCATATCTGTCTTGCCATTTGACTAGG